CAACTTCCTCGCCGTCCTCTACAACTTCGTATCGCCGACCATCGAAGGCCATTTTTTCCGCAAAGCCTCGATTCAGACTCTGAACCACGGCACGGAGACGCTTCTGGTAGCCGACCGAAGACATAGCATTACCAAAGTATGAGTCGTTGTACGCACCATTGGCCGCAGCCTGAAGCAAGGCTTGAAAGGCTTGGCTAATCTGGATGAGATACATTCTCTGTTCATAAATGGTGTTACGGGGCAAACCGAGCTTCTGGAGGCGTTTCTGGCATTCGGCAGACAACTTAGTGATGTCATCGATAAGGCTTGGGAGCTCAGAAGAAATCTGCCGCACGAGTACTTTACTCAGACGGGTCCTCAGAGATTTAATGCCCACGTTCTGTACTGAAAGGCCCGCCCAGGCACCAGAGGACAGAAGCTGCAGCTCGGCGGCATCACGCTGCTCAAAGGTTCACACTTCCAGTTCTGCTTCCGTGTCCCGGTTCCTCAAGACGTGCCAGCCCAGGCGGAACTCGACTTCTTGATTCCGTGCCAGGGAAATGAAGTCGCGCTCGCTTCCAGATCCCGGGATCAGAACGTCTGGTTTCGTGATGACACCCAAGGTCCGCTTTCCCCCAGGGTCGGCCTTGCTCGCGAGTTTCAGAACAATCTGGTTGACGTAATCGTTCTTTGCGGACACGACAGCGAGAATGATGCTTCGAGGCTCCTTCATGTAGCGCTGGCAACATTGTTAATGAGGTCAATGTCGGAGGCGGACTGGTGCTTGTTTGAGGAGTGGATGAGACCCGGAAGGTCCACAATAGTTAGATGCGGGCGATCAGGTCCGCTGACTTCGATGCGCAGGATGTCCTCGGAGAAGGCCTTGCCCATGGTCATGACACCCATGGCCAGCTTGGCGCTCTCGATCAGGGCGGGCAGGTCGTTGAAGTCGAGCAGCTTCTCGTGAAATTTGGACAGGGAGTCTTTGTCCGCGTCATTACGGGAGTGGTGCGGCACGATAGAGACGTTGATCGAGGAAAAGGCCGTCTTGCGGAGGATGAGCTCGGTCGGGAAGCGGGTGCACAGGCTGCTCTTGGCGGGGAAGGGGACGCCAGAGATGCTCTCGAGGACGGAGCTCTTTCCTGAGGATTGGTCGCCGCAGACGATGATTTGCGGCAGCGAGATATAGTGGCTGATGCCCTGGGAGCGCAGCGAGTCCACCGCGTTGAGGAGGTGCAGCTGCTCCTCGGAGCACAGCTGCTCCAAGTCCTGCGCGGTGAGCGACTTGATTGCTTCGCTCATCGGTTCAAAATGAACAATGGATGAGAGGGTTGAGAAGAAGATCTTGTGCTTGTTTACCTCCAGTGGTCTGCCACGGCTCCGGTATCTAAATGAAACCCAGATGGGTGGGCTACCCAGGCACCCGTCAGAGCCGTGCCGTCCTAACAGAAGTTTGCGTTGGCTGGCGAATGCACAGCAAAACAGAAATGAAAGAAGCGGGCCCAGGGAAAGAACGAAAAACTGAAACAGCAGCGACTATGAAATTTGTGTTGATTGGTTCTCTGGTCGTCAACAGCAGCCACCTTGCCGCTGCTGAGCTGTAACATTGGCCGGCCAGCCGCAACCTTAACCTTCCAGCCTGACCGCTCTGGATAACCGATACGTCAAACCCAGTTCCTTTCGCCGTAGCTCTGCCGCGTTTTTCGAAACTATCGAGGAGATAGACATGCAGTGGCCTACCACTACCCCCGTTGCGTGCTCCCTTGCATGCCGCGGACACAACTCGGATATCTTCGAAGATAGCCATTATCGGCACGCAGGGCCGTCCTTTGGGACTCTTGAGTACGCAAGAAGCGGCCTACCACCAAAAGACAATTATCATTGGCATGCGAGGTCTTTCCTGGTAGGACTTTCAAGTATGTAAGTAATGGCCTTTTGCGTGCTGTCTCACCCAGGTTACTTCCTTTGGCATTTGCCATTTGTTCGAGGCCTCTGGGGTTACTCACTTCGCGCAGAAGTGACTCACTTTGGCAACGGCCCTTCGTTCGAGGCTTCGCCGGCTCCTTAGGCCACACTTCCTTTCGGTGTAGCCTTCTCATGCGAGAAAACAGGAGATTGTCAACTACGTTTATCACTATTTGCTTCAGTATGACCTGAAACAGAGATTTACCTTCAATATCCTCGCCCGCGCTCGAACGTGAATCCCTTCTCTGCCTTGGGCGAGGTGCTCGCTCTTGCTCGGGACGCAAATTGAAGACGCGATACATGATATTCATGATGCCGTCAATGGCTTCAGTAAAGTTTCATCTCGCCGCAGCTCACAACACTCCGTCCAGTTATTCACCCGTGGATGGGCGAGAACAGCCAGCGAGATTTGAAACCATGTGAAAGTCAGTTCTGCCATGCTGAATTATTTACGCATGTTAGAGCAGCTCCATTCATGTCATCCACATACATAAATGCTACGTATTCAAACCATTGCACACCAAAAATTCTCCTCAGTGTCCAAGTAAAATCCCGCATCTGTCGGCGCCAGAGAGTAGGCTTTTAGACGTGCTACTGAGCTCCATATGGACATGATGCAAACCCAGGTTTGATCCATGCACATTGGCGCCCAGGTCAAGTGACCGCTGAGAGCCACTAGTCAGTGTCACCCTTTAGGTTCGGGAACAGATTGCAGTCTCAATGTCAGCATCTTCTCCAGCCGTCGAGGATCGTTGGAAATCGTGGCTCGCAAACCATGGAACAAGTGTCAACGGTTAGAGTAATGAGAAAGCCGGGCAGCTTGAGCATGGTAGTAGTGATGAGTTGGGTCGTATCAGCCTCGACTACGCGGCTTGTGATGAGTGTGGCTACTGTGGTCGCTGTGCATATTGAGAAGTTGAGAAAGAATTGGTTTTTACAGATTTTTGCTGGGTGGACTTTAATAAACTTGATTGTCATGGATTGATGCTTCCGTCAGTAAAAGCAAAGAAGCCACAAAGTGCCATAATGGCAAGTACAGGCTCGTAGTAGAGGTATCAATGCACCTAACCATCCGCCTCTTGTGAATTTTCAAACGAGGCACTACCTTCGTTATGCGTCGTATATAATATATATGACTTAGTCCTATGCACACTTAAGAAACCTCACGAGAAACGAAATTTTCCTAAACGCTATAACCTTTATCCCAAAGTACTTCTTTCCATTACTATAGGTCTTATCTCGTACGGTTGATTATTAAACGCGAGTATACCTTATTCAAAACATATATATACGTGTCTAGCTGGAATTAGAGGGGCATTGCGTTAAGGATTACTTAGGAGCTAATTCTTGGAGTAGGCCATTAGGACTCTTAGAAGCATTTCTTATGGCACCAATACATACAATTTGGTCCTGAATAGCTTAAATGAGCACGGAAAATGAAACTCGCCGATTCAAAGCCAATGGCAGCTGGCCCACCGAATGCTGGTGTCAAGGCTGGGTCATCAGTGCGTCGGCCGACATCCATGTGCGTGACAAGTGACTGCCCTTGGGCTGAGTTTGTGTCTTTAACAATCTGTTTGAAATTTTTTTCAAAGCCACCGTACTAGCTCATCTTGATGAAATAGATTTACCTCCATCTTCAGTCACACGGTTGCGGATATAAACCTTCAAGATGCCACCTGCCAAGTAGATTACTTTTGCCGCACTCCCCGCCTCCGCACCAGAACTGCCGTTCGTCTGAAAGGTGATCGACATATCGACCTTGGACACTGTGGATGACGTAGTGCCCATGGCCGACGTTCGGTCATCCGCTGTCGTTGAAGAGTCATAATCGGAGTTGGATGACGTCGCAGAACTTTCTTCAGCGTCGTCTAAGATGGGTCGTTCCACGCAAACACCAATGGTGGCGCTGGGAGCAAATAATAGCGCTTCTCCTGTGTGCAAAGAGACAATTTGAGCAAAAATATTAGCCAGGACAGAGTCAGAGTGCGAAAATTTCAAATGATGAGGTGATGGCAGGACCTCGTTGCTGTTTTCGATGGGACCATGGCGTGCAATCATAGTACCAGCAAACTTGGAAGCGCCCGCCAGATTGGATCTTAGAGTGCTAAGCCACTCAGGAGACGTGAAACGATGTACCACAGTAACAGAGCAAAGGTCTAGTAACTTCGGTGATATGGTGGGCTCCTGCGTGGAATAAATATGCGAGCCACTAAATGACGCTGTAGGCGAATGGCTGACAGGAGCGAGTCAGTTAGAGTGGCGCACTCTATCGACTCCATAAATTTGTGCGCTTCATCGAGAGCCCCCCATCCAAAAACCGTCCGTAGTCAGTTGGCAGGCGGAAGTCTCATCAATCTTACATCGTTGATCTCTTCATTTGCTAGTTTGTCAAAATCGACTCCAGCGAATTTCCGGTATACTTGGAAGAGTATTCTCTTATAAGCATGAACTGCGCTTCTTTTCCGTATTCTTTTGTACATATCTAGCATCCATTCCAGGAAGGTCATGATGTCTTCCTTCGTGGATTGGAGTAGATGATCTTCAGCTTTGGTGCACAAATAGGCGCAGTATCTAAATTGTCAACTTGAAATACCACTCAACTTCTGAAGACTTCATCCTTACCTTGTCCATTTCAGTTTGACACCATGCATGTTGACTTTGGTCGTGGGGGCATGTCGCTTCTTGACGGCCTCATCTGTAGCAAGTCGTTGGCGTTTTGATCGGTAGTATTCTGGAGGGCGTTGAGTACGAACAGGTGCCTTAGTGACCGCCATTTTTTTAACCTTGAAAAACGTAGGTCCATGATAATAATCTGGCACAATCTGGTACTGAAGTTGACTTATATGCGCCGAGCTCCCATTAAAATTAATGAGCGCTACTGAGTGGAGTGCGCCCAACAGTCATGGTGGTGTGGGGGTCTAGCGGCCAGCGCTTCGCAAGTTGGCCTCCAAAAGCGACATCCCAACCTCCAAAAAAAGGCATCATGTCCGCCAGAACTCGAGACACATTTGCTGCGAACCTGCACTGATTGGAAACCCGACGAGCTCGGTAGCATCTAACGCAGTCTCAGTCACGACGGCGTCTTGAGCTAACGCATCAAGTGACAGGCACCTCCATTCTACGTCCGTTTACTCGCGTGCGAGGACGAACACGGCAGCGCGTCCCGACAAGATCGCGAGCAGCTCTTGGCGCTTCTGCCCGCGTCGTACCACAAAGAGTCTGAGGACTTGGGGGCGGCGGGTCAGCATGTCACTGCCTGTGTTGAGAAGGAGCTCGGTACAGCGGCTTGCCAGCATCGAAGACTGGCTCTAGATCGCAGGCCTACCCTTGCCGCCACGTGCCTTGCATCACCAGCTGTTGCTAGGTTGCGAGATTACCATCACAGAGCAGATGGACTTGCATCTCGTCTGGACGGCGGGCCGGATATTCCTCAAGCCGATCCCACATGGTTTCGACGAACGGTCAAATTCTTCATGGTACGAACCGCGGCCTTGGATGGAGAAGTAGACAGGTTGGCGGCTATATCGATGCCGAAACTGTGCGACAGATATCGCGGGACTTGAGCAAACCAACATTTCATGGAGTTGAACGAGGTTAACCTGACGAAAATAATCCCAGGGATGGCGATTCATGTTTCAAGGAGCGTTTTGGAGATGGCTTTAAGTTGCAGCCCACGGGCGTATGATAGCTTGTATGGCAGCCTATAGGTGAGTTGTCGCTAAAACTCAGTTCACCCCTTGTGTGGTGTTAGATGCGTAATAGTGCGCACGTAAGCGGGCGTAACTACTTCTTAAATAAATATTATTCTTCTATCGTATATTACTGTATGCACATAGTGGGGTCATCGCCCCGCTTAGTGCATCCAGCTTATTCCTTCGTGTCATACCTCGTACGAAGCTAGACCTTTACTTTAACCATCAATTTCGTTAGTCCCCCCCCCCCCCCCCTCACGCATGCACTCTTAACCGTAAATATAGATGATTATCGCCTTAATATTCTAATTCCGTGATAAGTCTAGTAGTTAACCCCTCCTACGACCGCGTGTAGACGATGAATTAAGCTATAGTAGGCGTAATGGTTGTAACTACTCACGCATTGTATTTAGCCGCCTATTCATAAGAACATCAGCCTTTATAAGCGCCTAAGCTATTAATACACTCGGATTATTAGGCTAGGCCGTAGAAGCCGTAACAGTAGGTAATACTGTGTCCGTAATAGTAATAAGTATAATAAAATAGAAGGTGTAAGATTAATATCCTTTTAGGCACTCTAGTGTTACTGTACGTCTAGTATATATAAAACCCTATACCGTAACTATATTTAACACTTAAAATTAAATATAGTGGATAGACTGCTATAGAAGAGGATATTACGCACGCTCTCAGCGTATACCTATCGCGTAAACCCCGATACAAGAATGCAAATTGAGTTTTGGCGACAACTCACCTATAGGCTGCCAGTAAGCTTGCGTACAGTTGGACATACGGCAAAGTTTTCGAAACCCCATGCCACCGCTTGGCTGTGCAGGTTTGCCGGAGTACAGATGATGGGCCAAGCATCTGTTGTTTCATCTTCAAACACCCACACCTCACATCCTGGGCGCCAAAAAATTAAAACAGAAGCATATACAGTGTGCTAGCCCCTACAAAGCAACGGGGAAAAGATGACAGGTTGCCAGTAGTGATCCACGGATTAACATACGGGACCTGCGTCTTGACCGAATGTTAACGTCACGAAGATGCGCAACTGTGTCTGGAGAGTGACCAATCAAATATCCTCAGCGCGATTAAATTTAGCTGCAGAAACAAGAATCCAGGAGTGAGAACCCAGAACTGAGACTCCGGTACCCAATTAGAGCTCAAAAGCCTTGCGCGAAGGCACGGGGCCTGTAAGCTAACCCGGTTAGGTACCCCGCCTCCAACCGGTTGCCTGCACCTCACAGAGGCTGTCTGTAGTTATGCCTCAACGAGCCCTCCAGCGAGCCTTGATCAGATTTGAAATAGCGAGTTGAAGGCCACGTCATCAACGAGGCAGGTCACAAAATAGTCCGCAGAACCTCTGTTGCTTCCATCCTCACTCTCCCCCGCTCTTCGCTTGTTATATTGTCCTCAGTCGCGGATTGGTTCTGCAATTGGTTTTTCCTGATCGTGAAGCCATTCGTGGCACAGGGAAATCTCCAGAATCGGTTTGGAGTCTACTCTCAGCAGTGCTATGTAATTCAGCCGCGGACTATTCTTTCCTTGCGAACGCGGTTGTTGGACTCGCCTCAGGCCTTGCTGTCATTCACAAATGCCAGATCCGGCATAAAGACATCTGCCCGGATAATATTTTGATCCACGAAGAGGAGGTTCTTTTTACTGACTTTAGCATCTCTCTGGATTGGTGCGACGCCAAGAGCAGCACGACTGCAAGCCATAACCCACCTTACCATTTTTTCCATGCTGCCCCGGAGCTCGTGAACAAGCCGCAAAGACCGCCAAATGACAAGTCGGATGTATTCTTGCTCAGTTGCATTGACCTTATTTATCTGGCTACAAAGTCTTCTCTGTTGCTACCACACACTATATGGGGCGGCAACGGTAGTTATGGATACGGCTGCAGAACCGCGGCCAAATCACCTGTTTCCGCAACGAGATGGCGCACACGCTGCTGGTGGGATCGAAAGCTAGCCACCATTTCGTATAGCATGACTCTGTATTGGCGTGCAAATATTGCCAGCTCGACGAGGTCTGACGGCGCCTCGATCGCTTCAGTCATTAGGTACCTGATTTCAGCAAAATGATCGCGATGCTTGAGCATCTATGACTTTGGGAACTCATAAAGGCAGAACGTGCAGCATCTTTTAGGAAGAGGGGTTCAACGTGGATCCGCTAGGCTGGGGGTCGCGGCTGGAGCGGGCTGGGGGATGGCGTGTCAGTGTATCATTGGAAGAGAGTTTCGTACCCATTATATATATGTATGGGTGAGGCAGGGTAGCTCAGTAACTGCAATGTAGCTCTGGAAACCCGTCGTCACCAAGGCCCAATTCTACACAAGCGGTGGCAGAAAAGACGGGAAGCTATTACTGCCCCTCAGACGGCTTAATTTCAGGCTCTGTCGTGCCTCTCTAGGCGTCTCTGCCCAACACTGTGCTACGGCTTACCAAATTCTTGGGCTGCCAATTCCACCTTCGACCGTGGCATCTTTTTCCAACTACAATCCCATAGTTACGTCGGCACGGGCCCGTCCAATGAATCCGAAGAGACTGCTTCAAGATGAATGGCCCGCCGCGAGCCAATCCTCTCCGAAGCGAGCAAGAGACCTCCCAGGGCGGGTGTCCCCCACGTCACGTGGCGCGGCACGAAGATTACAACATCGCCTGGATCTGCGCGCTTCACTTGGAATTGACAGCATCGCGCGCCATGCTTGACGAGGAACACGCATCGCTACCCATTGACACCGGTGACCACAATGCATACGTGTTGGGACGCATCGATCAACATAACATCGTCATGGCATGCTTGCCGGGCCAGTATGGGACGAACAACGCCGCAATCGTCGCCACCAACTTGAATCGAAGTTTTCCGAGTATCCGCGCTACCTTGATGGTCGGCATCGGCGGTGGATCACCCAGCCAGGCCGACTTGTACCTAGGTGACGTCGTCGTCGGCACGAGGGTGATGCAGTATGACATGGGCAAGGTGATCGGGGACGGAAGGTTCCAAGGAACCGCCGACGCGAAGGCTCCCGCGCCGCTGCTAAACGCGGCTGTGTCCAGTCTACGATCGAGGTATGGGTCACACCATTCCAGCAGTCGAATGATAAGCCTTGTGCGAAGCAGACTGCCCAGCCACGCCCGTCCCAGCCAACCCGATCGCCTTTTCCAATCGACTTATGAACACCCTCCCGATGCGACAAGCTGCGACGAATGCGATCCAAGGAGGTTGCAACTTCGACGTAAACGTCTCTCCGACGAACCCAGGATCCACTACGGAGTCATTGCCTCGGGCAATAAGGTCATGAAGAACGGGAAAGCACGGGATGACATTGCTCGGCGACATTCGGCGTTGTGTTTTGAGATGGAGGCAGCCGGCATGATGGACAACTTCCACTGCTTGCCCATTCGCGGCATATGTGACTACTCGGATTCCCATAAGAACAATGAGTGGCAGGACTATGCCGCTGCAGCTGCAGCAGCCTGCGCGAGGGAACTGCTGGAAGTGCTTCCACCGTCCAGGGAACTCGGCCGGACTACTATCGCCAATTCGAGACCAGGGTCACGAACGGACGACGACGCTTCGAAACGGCGGCAGCGCTTGGTGGAATCCCTTGACTTCCTACAAATCGAGGCCCGAAAGACCACTATTCAGGCTGCACATGCCAAAACCTGTCGTTGGGTCCTCAGTCACTCAGCATACTTGGATTGGCTTCAGCCCGCAAAGCAGTCACAAAACTATGGCTTTTTATGGATACGGGGCAAAGCAGGTGCTGGAAAGTCAACCATGATGAAGTTCATATACCAGGCGACAAAAAAAATATACAGGAACCCTCGTGCGGCCGTCGCATCCTTCTTCTTCAATGCACGAGGCGACTTCTTGGAAAAGTCCATCACCGGAATGTACCGGTCTCTGTTGATGCAGCTCTTCAAGAGCTTTTCAGACCTTCAAATCGGCTTGGATGACACGGACATCGTTCCATGGAACCAGCAAGGCTGCCCTGACCTGAACGCTCTGAAGGAGCTTCTCAGGAGCGCCGTGATGGCCCTTGGCCAGCGCTCCTTTGCCTGTTTCATCGATGCCCTCGACGAGTGTGACGAACAGGAAGTCCGGGATATGGTTCAGTTCTTCGAGGATATGACAGAGGTCACCACCGACCATGGCATCCAATTCCGAATCTGTTTCTCGAGTCGGCCATACCCGTACATTGACATCCGGCAGGGCAATTTGCTCACCCTCGAGGATGAATCAGGACACGCAGACGACTTGGCACAGTACGTCAAGAATCATCTCCGAATCACGAACCCCTCGCTTCTCGCAGACTTGCAAGCCCAGATTCTGGACAAAGCTGCTGGGATTTTCATGTGGGTCGTGTTAGTAGTGGGGATCCTGAACAAGGAGAGCGACGGTGGCGCCCTCGCGATCAGGACGAAGCTTTCGGAAATCCCGCCTAAGTTGAGCGACCTCTTCAGGAGCATGCTGACGCGTGATCAAGATAGACCGGAGTGGCTGCTGCTCTGCGTCCTCTGGATTCTCTGTGCAAAGCGGCCTCTGAATCCAGCAGAGTTCCGCCATGCTCTATGGGCGGGCTTGTTGGCGCAGGATGGCCAGGTGGATCCCGAGCTACCAGATGTTACAGACATGGATGAGTGCGTCAGACTGGTCACGAGTTCCTCAAAAGGACTTGCCGAAATCACCAAATCCTGGCAGCCGACTGTGCAGTTCATTCATGAATCAGTACGGGACTTCCTGGTGAAAGGAAGGGGCCTCCAGGACTTATGGCCTGATCTTGGATTCGAATGGGAAGGTCCCAGCCACGAGAGGCTCAAGCGTTGTTGCACTGTGTACTTGCATCATCCAAGCGTACGGGCGGTCGTCAATCTTTACGACGGGGGCCGCGATCAGAGTGCTGCAGCCAAAAACTGCTCATTCGTAGATTACGCCATTCAGCAGGTTCTCCACCACGCCGATGCTGCGGCGCTTGTGATTCCCCAAGATGACTTCTTGTCCCAATTCTTTTCTCCGTGGGGGATCTGGAAACTCAGCGTTTTCGAGAGATCGAAATCTCAGCGGTACCGCTCGGGCAAAACGCCCATCTATGTCCTAGCAGACAACGGTTTGGCAAACCTCATTCGCATGCAGATGAAAAGAGAGTCGACTGCCTATGTTGCCGGAGAAAGATATGAGTATCCGCTCTTCGCTGCATTGGCCAATGGGCATATAGATGCCGTAGCTGCTCTTCTAGACTTGCCTTCAACTATGCACGATGGCGTCGACATCACTGAAGATCTGAAGTATGGGATGAAATTCACAGACTACAAAGGTCGAACACCGTTGTCATGGGCTGCGCAGGAGGGTAAGCTGGCCATTGTGAGGATCTTGACCCAAAGAGGAGCAAATCTTGACGAAGCGGAGAGGGGAGGGTATACGCCATTCCTACGGGCAGTCGAGAGCGGCCATGAGGCAGTGGCTCGGCTTCTCATCGACAAAGGGGCCGACGTTCATGCGAAGAGCGGCAATGGATCGACAGCACTGATCTTGGCCTCACAGAATGGACACGAGGCGGTGGCTCGGCTTCTCATCGACAAAGGGGTCGACGTCGATGCCAAGGACAGCAATGGGTTGCCGGCACTGATTTTGGCTTTACAGACTGGACACGAGGCGGTGGCTCGGCTTCTCATCGACAAAGGGGCTGACGTCGATGGGAAGAGCGGCAATGGATCGACAGCACTGATCTTGGCCTCACAGAATGGACACGAGGCGGTGGCTCGGCTTCTCATCGACAAAGGGGCTGACGTCGATGGGAAGAGCGGCAATGGATCGACAGCACTGATCTTGGCCTCACAGAATGGACACGAGGCGGTGGCTCGGCTTCTCATCGACAAAGGGGTCGACGTCGATGCCAAGGACAGCAATGGGTTGCCGGCACTGATTTTGGCTTTACAGACTGGACACGAGGCGGTGGCTCGGCTTCTCATCGACAAAGGGGCTGACGTCGATGCGAAGAACGGCAATGGATCGACAGCACTGATCCTGGCCTCACAGAACGGACACGAGGCGATGGCTCAGTTTCTCATCGACAAAGGGGCCAATGTCGATGCCAAGAATAGGGACGAATCGACGGCACTGATTTTGGCCTCATGGATTGGACACGAGGCAGTGGCTCGGCTTCTTATCGATAAAGGGGCCGACATCGATGCTAAGGACAGCTATGGATCGACGGCACTGATTTTAACGTTAGGAAGGAGACATGAGGCGGTGGCTCGGCTTCTCATCGATAAAGGGGCCGACGTCAATACTAAGGACAGCGAAGGATCGACAGCACTGATCTTAGTCTCACAGAATGGACACGAAGCCGTGGCTCGGCTTCTTATCGGCAAAGGGGCTGACGTCGAAGCCAAGGACAGCGAAGGATCGACAGCACTGATTTTGGCTTTACAGAATGGACACGAAGCCGTGGCTCGGCTTCTCATCGACAAAGGGGCCGACGTTCATGCGAAGGACAGCGAAGGATCGACAGCACTGATCTTAGCCTCACATAATGCACACGAAGCCGTGGCTCGGCTTCTTATACGCCAAGGGGCTGACGTTCATGCAAAGGACAGCGAAGGATCGACAGCACTGATTTTGGCTTTACAGAATGGACACGAAGCCGTGGCTCGGCTTCTCATCGACAAAGGGGCCAACGTTCATGCGAAGGACAGCGAAGGATCGACAGCACTGATTTCAGCCTCGTGGAATGGACACGAGGCGGTGGCTCGGCTTCTCATCGACAAAGGGGCCGACGTTCATGCAAAGGACAGCGAAGGATCGACAGCACTGATTTTGGCTTTACAGAATGGACACGAAGCCGTGGCTCGGCTTCTCATCGACAAAGGGGCCAACGTTCATGCGAAGGACAGCGAAGGATCGACAGCACTGATTTCAGCCTCGTGGAATGGACACGAGGCGGTGGCTCGGCTTCTCATCGACAAAGGGGCCGACGTCGATGGGAAGAGCGGCAATGGATCGACAGCACTGATCTTGGCCTCACAGAATGGACACGAAGCCGTGGCTCGGCTTCTCATCGACAAAGGGGCCGACGTTCATGCGAAGGACAGCGTAGGATCGACAGCACTGATCTTAGCCTCACATAATGCACACGAAGCCCTGGCTCGGCTTCTTATACGCCAAGGGGCTGACGTCGATACGAAGAGCGGCAATGGATTGATGGCATTGACTTTGACTATGAGGCGGTGGTTCGGCTTTTGAGGGTTGTTCAACGCCCAGAGATCAATCCGTGATGAGAACTGGGCCTCGATAAGGTGTGCTGCACCGACCCTCACCCACCGGAACAAGGGGGCTGGTTATTCTGCGGTGCATGCAGCAAGATGCAGTTCGGCCATCCAATAAAACAGGAGACCAGTCCCTTACGGGCCCGCCAATGACTGAAGGAACGAGTTTGCGGCATGCGTTTTGTCAGTTTCCAAAGCGCTAGGGGCGCACTGGGGTGTTAAAGGCTGCTATCTATGAACCTCGCTGTCTTGCAATCCGTGTCCCTTGTAGCCCCTCACGCAGATAAAATCCGGCCTATAGAACGAAATTGTGATGCTATGGGACCTATAGATTATTCGAAATGGGACAACATTGACACGGATTCCGAGCCGGAGGTGGTGCCTCAGCTGGTGCCTACGCCCCAAGGCAACGGTAGGACCTGCTTCCGTCATGGCACGGCTGTCCCAATCCAAGCCTTCAGGGTCCGTCAAAGCCGTCATCGTCCGGGTGCGACGTTGAGAAAATTGAATCTAGGCTTTGGTCCGCTACAACAATTCCCGCAGACCATGCCGTTTTCTCCAAGAATGTTCCTCCTGTCCCGGGGCTCATCGAGGTCTCCTGCACCGCATGGGTACCCAGTCACTCCACCAGGCGGACCTCGACAATCAGATCGCCACGTATCTTCGACCCTGATTCTGGTTTGCTCCGTCGGCTTGGCGGTCCCATGTTGGTACCGTCGTGGTAGCGCGCGACGACAGGAAGCCGTTACCGCCACACCATCTTGAGGCGTGTGGATGTACTGCGATCACATCCTGGACCCGCTCGGCGAGGTGGAGGGTGCTCCGAGGTGTCTGTACAATCGGCGGGCCTTTGAACAGTGGTGGGGACGTTACTGTGAGGAACAAAGGCATGACCCGCCCCACCAGACAAGCAACCACCGCTGCGTCAAGGTCATCGTAAAGGCGAGCTCGAAAAGACACGAGTACGAAAGCAACAACGATGATGCCTAAGCGTATAATTGCCAGGGCAGGGTTGGCAGATGAAGAGTGTTGTCCAGAATACACGGCGGATGGGTGGAAGACTAAGCAGGATGCCGTCATGTACCGACGACCAGGTCACTTCTCAGATCCTAGCATTGACAACGGCCAGGTCGAACAGGCACAATGACTTGTCACTGCATGGCGCACTGCATGACGGATGGATACCTTCAATACCCAAGGAAACATTTCTGGTGCGCCACGGCGCTTCGGTAACAATATTGACGTGCGCGAATAAACGAATAATTCACAGGGCAGTCTGGTCGCGTCCGTAACACCCTGCTCAATCACTTCCCCGTTCTGCGGATGGCAAACCAAGCTCCAAGTGGACGCGAGAAGGAAAGCAGCAGAACTCAGTTTTCACCCACTGAGACAAGGACTGGATGGCGTTGGATGAGGTGGCTGGTTATTCTTAGATCCCTGTACGGAGCAGCAGGACGCAGTTCAGCTCCTCTGCTTCCCCATGAAACCCTGCTACAATGCACAGCCAACTTCGAAATGCAATATCACGCCGATCATTGCTATCTCGCCATCCATGTACGGCTGCGTGCACACCCTCCAATTATTACTTTATGCCCTTGTTCTTGTACAGCGACATGGCAGCTGACGTTGTCCAAGACACACATGTTGTGCTGCGTGAGCATGGCGACGCGGCCAGGGGCAACTCTTGCCTTGACAGCAATCTCCGACCACACGTACAGGCAAAATGGCGGCCGTGAAGAGCTTGGTATTTCTGCATCATGCTCCCCGTCGCGACGCGTTTGAGCTAACACATCAGCGAACAGGCACCTCCCTTGTCCATCCGGCTCCTCGAGCAACCCGCCGTCGCGTCCCAAAAAGATCACGACGAGCTCCTGGCACTGTTGCCCGCATCGTACCGCACAGAGTCCGGTGACTTGGCCGCTGCTTGTCAGCATGTCATGGCCTGTGTTGAGGAGGAGCTCGACCTGCAGCGGCTCACCAGCATCCATGGCTGGCTCTGGGTCGTGAAATCTTTGTCACTGAACGGATGGACATGCATCTTGTCTGGACGACCGGCCGGATGTTCCTCAAGCCGATCCCCCGCTTCCTCCTGGAACCGGCCTTCTGGGTCCGATACCTCAGCTGTGGGGGAGAATGCGGGTGTCCTCCTGACACGAGCTGCCACCCAGACGGGATGCAAGCGTCCAGGGCTCCGTCGACGCGGACTCGGCTTCCTCTGCTTCTACGCCGCGCTGCTATCGCACGAAAGCGATTTCCTCATTGTGCAAGACAAACATCTGCTACCATCAGAGGTAACATGGTATGGGTGGCGGATATTTGTCGAGCAGCTGGACAGGGAACACATCCACCCCCACATCGACCGCCGCTTCGTCCACGGCGAGCTGCGTCTGGGTCGTCTGAATAAAATCTATGCCGTCACCCGAACGCCGATGCGCGGGTATCTGGCTCGCTGGGATCGGTACGGCGCCTTCTTCCACGATCACTTCGCTTGGCTGGCCAGCGCAACAGTGTACATGGCCATTGTCCTGACCGCTATGCAGGTCGGGCTAGCGACCGAGTTCCTCGGCCACAATCACGCGTTCCAGTCTGCATCGTACGGCTTCACGATATTTTCCATTTTGGGCCTCTCATTGCCGCCTCGGTCATTATGCTGCAATTCTGTGGTGTCTTTGTACGGAACTGGGCGAGGGCCGTCCATCGGAAGAAGACACGTTACTCTGAGCTGCACCTCTCATAACTCTCGCTTGTCTGAGCTTCAGATTCGAGGTTAATTGAATAATTCCTCTCGTGTTAGTGGAAAGTTGCAGACCGTTGGTCCGTTAAAAGTATAGGGTTACTATGCGATGGAGCCACCAAAGTGGCAGCCACTGTTGTGCTTCCACGACTTGTCCCTCTCAGAACGAGACTAGACAAGCCCACCTACGACCCTTAAAGCCTCAATTACATAAATAAGCGCATTTAAGGAGAGTAACAAGGACGAAAAAAGGTATTGATTTGATTTGATTTTGATTTGATTATTTACGTCTGTTTGCGCCCTAGAGTAGGCTTTTAGACGTGCTATCGAGCCTTCTATGGATAAACGTGCAGGCGTACCCGCTTCGTAGGCCCCTGCGTGCCGCGCCCATGTTCTCACTAGTTGCCCCTGGAATACTCTCCCTGCCGTCGTCCTCCAACTGTAGCAGTGTCGCGCCCAATGGCGTGTATCTGTCTGGATCGATACCCGTCAGCGGGATCACGATGATGCTGGTGTGATGCGCTCGCGGGTGCAACCGCGGGCGCGTCGCGCCAACAACTGTTGTCGCCTGGTCTTTGTACGGGGACCAGCGGGAGCCCTGCTGTCGGTGGCGTATATCGCCCTAAACAAAGGAAAAGTATGTGTTTAACGAGTAGCGTGAACTACTCGGGCTGGATACTGTGCAGAGCGCGCCAGGCTTGTACACCTACGCTGCATTACGTGCGCTTGTTGATCTTCGAGTAGTAGAAGTCAGCAATGCGCACGTACACCTCGTAGGATCTACCGAGAAATTCCCTACTGTCGTCTCTGGGTCGGGGCTCAGCCGAACCCGGAGCTGGCCAGGGATTTTCCTACAGTAGAAAAGATGGGTGGGCGACTTCTGGCGCCCGCAAGGGCACTCCAGCGTCGCCTGTCCTGGGTGGAATCTCTCATGGTATTCTGCAAAGTCTCCGTGTTGCGATTGTGCTGTCAACAGATAGCCGAGCAAGCGGCGGGGGAGACTGAGTTCCGGGAGCTTCTTCATCTGTATTTTTCTATCAGAGACAGATGGCAGGTGCTCGTCGACGGAAAGTGTGGCTCCATGCTTCGCGAGTTGGTCGGCCAGTTCTGAGTACCTCTTCGTGGGGTTCGGTCTGTCTTCTGTAGGGTAGCTACCCGCTTACGCACCCTTGGCGCCCGAATCGTGGCAAACGATATAGCTCATCTTGGCCTTTTTCCGTGACCCACTGGCGATGTCAAGGGGGAGTAGCTAGAAAGAACGCATCAGCCAAACCGATTGCGCCCAAAAGCACCAACTGGACCAAAGCCGCTAACGACGGTTGAGGCTGGTCGAGAATCGTTGCGCTAAAAAAAGACAATGGGCCAAGGGGAAGGCGGACGGTCAGAACTTGACGAGGCGCAATACTAATGACACTCTCCTGCTAACCAAGGTTGAGGCTGCCCGAAAATTGCTGCCATCACAAAAGACAATGGGTCGAGAGAAGGTGGACGGACAAAGCTTGACGGACAGAACTTGACGGGCAAAACTTGTTGGACAGAACTTGACGAACCAGGCGCAATACTAACGACACTCCCTCCTGCATCGAAAAAGAACGAAAGTGGAGCGAAAGCAGCCAGTGAGGAAGTGGACGAACCAACTACGTGGAGCATGCTAGGAGAGCCTTTTCCAGCGCGGCGTAGAAAAAACTGAGATGAATTGTTGCGCGAGACTGTTCAAGCGGGTCACGGCAAACGGCCAGATGAAGTTGATGGGGCGAGCAGATAGTGGCTTGTGCGCGCTAGTAGTGGAGGGCCGGATCGAGGAATCAGGCCCCACGAGCGGCTGCCTCGCCCAAGAAAACAGCTACGGAGGCGGCCATGGATCCTGAGTTCCACACATGAAGAAAAAGGCAAAACATAGCGCACTTGTGTGGCATGGCGGAGCCGCTAAAAATCAACGGGTCAAGAAGCTGTTGGAAGAAAGCCGCCCAGAAGTTGGGCAATAAACAAACAATTGGACGAGCGGAAAGTGACCATCAGTCAGGCACGACAGCCATGCATGGCCACCGCCAAAAGGCCACCAACGAACGCCAATGATGGCGGCTTGGATACAGGCGGAGTTGGAGAGGCCAGGGCCATGGCGGAGGGTGGAGGACTGGCGATGCCAAGAGCCGATTGCGCCGAAAAGCACCAACTCCACGAAAGCCGCTAACCACTGTTGAGGCTCTAGCGGTAGCAAACACACGCCCACTGGTCAAGATTTGGCAGGAGCATGGTAGCAAAATCCTTGCAATTTGATGGAAAACCCGTGAATGGAGAACAGGCTCAGTTGGAGCCGCAATTGGGGATGGACAGGCAGGCAAATGGAGTGTCGATGCCTTATTCACGAGGCGTGTTCCAAGACACCGCGCAAGCCACAACAAGCAACCGCGCGCCCAGATTTTACGAGACTGGTGTGGCTGCGCGGGGCTATGTACCCCGCTTCTCATCTGCAAGTGTCCAGCCTCCTGAGTTTCCTCAAGGGCGAGATTCCGCAAAAGGTGTTTTTTATTTCAGCAACATCATGGCGAGAATTGCATACCAAGAGTAAGTGCTTGGATGATACTGTAGGGCTCACTAGCTATGTCTAAGTAACTGTTTGACTATTCGCCTCATCCATTCCACTTATTCCTGTCGTTCTCCGATCGCTTCCACCTCCTCTTTCCATCCCAGCAGCTCCCGTTCCATGTTGTTTACTACTGATGACTGACTATCTTGAGGGCTATTCCTCAAGTGTTCGGAGTCCTATCTGCAGCGACCGAAGCGTCGCTGGTCATGTTGTCGTGGATGTGGCCGCACGGTATGATGAAAAGCCTGTTCTAGTTCTTGGCTTGTCAATTGTCGAATCTTCCTGTGGCGAGTGTATATTGTATCGTTGCTCGGATTGCCCCCATGTTTGGTTTCCATTTCGGTCCGTCTGATGCCGACTTTCCTCCTAGTCGGTGTGACAAGTCATCCCATCTCGTGCTCGTGCATGCTCGTAACTCTTTTCGCTGTTCATCCCATTGCGGGCACCCTAAAAGAAAATGTTTGACCGTTTCTCTTGCCTGCCCGCACGTGCATTGCTCCGAGAGCACTGCTTTGATGCGATGGAGATACCCGTTCAATCTTGCCATTTCTGTCCTTAATTGCGCGAGTGTTGAACGCTCCCTCCATGACCACTCGTCATAGATCTCACGCGTGTGGCTGCCAGGCAGCGCCACATCTATTTTTCTGGAGAATCGTCCTACTCCTTCGGGTATACATCGTTCACCTCTGAGTTTACTTTGTTCGTTGTTCAAAGTCGTGGTCTTCATCACTGGGAACGAAGCCTCCGGTACCGCGCCTTGCTGCGTGGCCGCCTTTGCTTGTCTTTTGGCCGTCTGCAACATTTTGTTGTTGTTCGGTGAGTCCCATCCTACCGCCACCGTGTTGGCTTGTTTGGCGCAAAATCAGCTTGATGTCTGACTTAAACAGTTTAAAGTTTTGAGATAGACCCGTCAGGGAGGGAGCGTAGAAGTACCTCCAAGTAAGAGCACTGTGTTACGGCTTTGTTTGGCTAGCCTAAGAGCCGAAAATCACACACTTCTAGAAGCCGATTTTAGCTTCTACTTGCTACACCACAGGGCTGCAGGTGGCCAATTCCGCATTTGTCCTGAACATGCTTTTAGCTTTTGCAGCTTGTATCCAGATAAAACCACGCCAACGGTGACTAAACCTGGACTGGGCTGTAGCTATCGGCAGGTTGGCCACGTTAGGCAGGGCTTTTAAACAGGCTGCGGGTCGGCAGCTACTATTTACCAGCTACTTCCTTACAAATGCTGTCAAAATGCGAGGAACGCTCGAGGTAGAGAAGGCAAGTCTGATCCGATTGGCATCTCGTCAATGGTTCTAGAGTGTTCTCTTTCAATGGTCGAAAATATGGAACGAAAAGAATGCACGTTCATCGGAGACACCGCCACAGTGACATCCCGGATTTTTGCTTGCAACGACTGGATCGATACAGTGAATGAGTTGGGATTCAATTGCTCTTTTACGGAGTCGATTTGAGAAATCTGATCGATAGCGCAACAGTCTCCTCTCCCTCAATAATAGCGCCAACTGGGCTTCGTATATTGCACTAGACTTGGCACACGCAGGCAAGTGGCCATTACTTTTGGATCCACAGCGGCATAGCCACGGCTACCCGTACCTCTCGCTACTGTTGAGATGCTTGAAGCCTTGGAAATGGGGCTCAGAAGGCAAAGATAGCGTGTACATACCAGACTGCAACATTGAGCTGAATATTGGTATTTACTCTGTCGGTGAACTCTCTCCACACGCAGTCGGAACTCGACGGCTGGCCGTGAAGCGCGGCGCAGGTCCGGCAGAGAGTGCCGTATGCCACGGGCGAGATGGCCAGTCATTTACCTTTGACTGCTTCATGTCGGATAAATACAACCAAATTATATATTTTTTCTTAACTGTCAAGCAAGATTTCATTCGCTTATTCAACTGTCCAAGAAACGAAAGTTGGTGCAAACTAGAAAGAAGGCTTGAGAACGTCCAATCATCTGCCGACACCACCAAGCAGAGATTCGACGAAATTGAGTCTCCTTATTCTCAACCTGTATTTCAGAATAAGCGGTATATCAAGACGGGCGAAGACTGCGTGCCCATGGCTACGACGCAGGTAATACAGGAAACCAGGGCTCTACCAGTGGAAATGAAGAAGCAAATCTTGGACTCTTTGGACGAGTTTAGCTACACGACTCTTGTAAAGATAGACCCGCAGTCAGAAGTTTTCCAAAGGTCCCATGCCAGACATGCAACTACGTGG